CCGCCTCGGCGCGGCACCCGAGGAGAGAGAGAGAGCGCGCCGGCAGACCCCGGGCGGACGGCCCCCCCTGCCCCGTCCACCAGAGAGGCCGCCCTCCCCCTCTGCCCCGTCCACCAGAGAGGCCGCCCCCTCCCCCTCCCCCTCCTCCTCCTCCTCCTCCTCCTCCTCCTCCTCCTCCTCCTCATCCTCCTTCCTCCTCCTCCTCCTCCTCCTCCTCCTCCTCCTCCTCCTCCTCCTCCTCCTCCTCCTCCTCCTCCTCCTCCTCCGGCGGCGCGCCGAGGGGGGGAGGGCAGAGGAGGCGGGCCATCTCAGGAGGCCCGGAGAAGGCCTCGGGCCTTTCGAGAGGCTTTTTCTGGGCCTTCGCCGACGCCTCGCCGCTCATGAGGAGGGTTGCCTTCTCGCTTCGCCCCTCGTCGCTTCCGATCGGGGGAGCGTAAGACCCGGGTTTGCCGGGACTCGGGTTCGCCATCGTTTTTTGACGACCGCGCCTCGGATTTTGACGAGGAGGAGTTTCGCGGGATGTTTGCAGCGGGAGGCCTCGTCAAAATGCAGGCTCGGCCTCGTCATTTTTTTGACGACCTCGTCGGGGATTTCCGAGTCTTCCGTACCCGGGTCTTACGTCTCCCCGATCCGAGCACAGGGAAGGCATCGATACGCAGATGGCCTGGAGGCAAGGCGGGAATTGCCACCACAACCCGCAGCATGACGCGGCGAAGGGGGAAAGTGAGCCTCGGGGTCTGGGGACGAGCAGGGGGGGCGGAGAATTCCTTGAGAGACGCAAGCCACGCCAGGGAGTCGGCAGGCTCGTTCACGGGACCATTCTCGTGCGCACGTGCATGCTGCACGAGCGTTCGCAAAGACAGAGAATGCCCCTCGAGGAGTGGCTCTACCAACCAACAGTTTGTCAATCGTGAGTGTGATTTGCCAGCAAGGAGACTGGGCGTTTCAAGAAATTGCCCAGAGCGCCGACTCAACCTCAGGCTGAGCGGTGCCGAATCCATCCGCGAAGCAGTGAGATCGGGGAGACCCGCAGCAAACCCCTCGAACGCGTCACCCTGCATATTGCAGAACAACAGCCGTAAAAGCCCACGCGGGAGGAAGTTGTGAAGTGCCCCTGGCTTCGTCAGTACAGTTTTCTGCATACGTCCATCCAGAGCAACCTCCGTTCCGTGAGGGCAAGGCTGAGAGATAGTCAAGGGTGGATACGGAACGCTTCGTAGGGCGTCCAGTCGTACCCCAAGGGGGGACTCCACTGCTCCTTGATGGACAGGCCTACGGGGACAGTGCTGGCGCTACGAGACCCCAGTGCGTCGAGGAATTGCAAATCTGGATGGGGGCGCGTGGGTTAGCGACGGTTCCCGCTTCCGCACAGAATCGGCGCGCGCTCCGTCGCCAAAGCAGGTGGCATTGGCCCCCTGTTTCGGAGAGTACCTTCCCAGATCCGTAGATCTGGCGCCCAAGCGCAAGATCCACGGATCCCTAATACATGTCAGCGTACGCCCGAGTGTGCTAGGCGCCGGCCCCCGCCCAGTCCTGGCAGTTAACAGACCCCCGACGTCATGATTTTTTCATGACATGGACCCCCAGCGGTCTGGACCCATTCCCCAAGACCGGTTCTTCATCCCGAGTCGTTTTGCGGGGCCCCGAGGTCTGGCAAGGGGCCCCCAGAGGCCGAAAATAGCGAACTGCCTCCCGTCGCCGTTCGTTCATGACCCGAGGGGGCCTGAGAGCCCTGACAGCACGGTGCCGGTCGGAGCGAGCAATGCGCTCCGGCGCGGGCTAATACGCCTCGGCCTCGCCGGCGACCCCCTGCCCGGGGCCGCCTCGAGCTCCGCCCCCGCTGCAGCCCGACGGGGCCGGGAGGCCTCTCGAGCCCCCGGCGACGGCCCCGCCCTGCTCTCGCGCACCCGGTGGTGCGGCGGGGCCCCGAGCGGCAACGGGAGGGGGGTGCCCGTCGGCGGCGAGCTTGGGGGGGGGGGCGGGCCTGCTCCGAAAGCGCCGCCGGCCGTCTGAGAAGTGTTCGGAGGCCTCCCCGGAGACACAAAAGAGAAGCCTCTCAGAAGGCCACGGGGGCGCCTCTGAGAGTCTGCGCCGCCTTCTGCGAGGGCCTTCTCCTTCTCACCTCTCCCCCTCGTTCGCCGCCGAGCCTGGGGACACCGGGCAGCAACAGGGGGCGCCGAGCAGCAGCAGCAGCAGCAGCAAGGATTCTCCTGGCGACACTTGCTGGCGCCCTGATGGAAGCGACGGGGGCTTCGTGCCCTGCCGAGGGTGCCGTGGACTGCCGATTCCAACGGGTGCACACCGTAGCCGGCACGGTCCTGATGTGTCGCGAGAGTGGCACTCAAAGAGGCCAGCTGCCTGCATCGTCGCAGGACCTGGCACCTGCTGAGCTGACATCATCGGCAGATGGGGCTGCCAGACCGGGGTGGACACACTGCCCGCAGCCTGCTCCGCGGCCTCTCCTCGTGGGCTGTGAATGCCCTCTCCGCTGGGGGCCCACACCTGGAGCAGCTGCATGACGTCGCCCCCGTCCGCCTCCATCTGATCTTGAGGCCCACGAGGTCCTGGCGCCGAAGTTCTCATCACAGCGGCCGAGGTTGCCCTGCTTCTGGCCCCGGACCCCTCACGGATCGATCCCGCTCGAAAAATGATGCAGAAGATGAGGTCCAGGGTTCCGGTCTTGATGTTTGTCCGATGTTGCATGTTGTCCATGACTTCGGATCTCAGGGAACCACGTGCAGCGCCTGAGCGTGCCTCTCCACGTAGGCATCGGCCCTGTCGCGCCGGATGAAGAACTGCCGAAGACTGGAACAAGACTGAAACAATATTGAAACAAGACAGGAGCTACAGTCAACCCGCATAGTAAGGATGAGCGACTTTCCATCCTTGGCCGCTTTCGCTGGCCGCGCCCCGCTCGCAAAGTGGCGACGTAGTCTTCTAAGGACCTTGCATCCTTATCGTGCGTCCTTATCATACGGGTTGACTGCAAGACCGGCACATGACCTGCGCAGCACTGGAGATGAGCCGCCCAGCTGCGCTGGGTAGATTTGGCCGTGGCGGTCTCGTGCCGCGCCTTAGCCCTCTTGGGCGCGGCGACCTGGTGGCCCACTTGCCCGTCGAAGGGTTGGGGCAGACGCATTGTTGCAAGGAGGACCCATTCCCGGTCGTCTTCGGCACGATCGCGATGTGTCGGCGCGCCGTTTGTTCCGACGCACGGCCTTACGTCTTGGGGAGGGCGCCGCGGGCACCGGGGCAAACGCCGCCTCGGGCGCGGTGGGTTCGCTGTGGGTTTGCCGCGCCGCCGGCTGCGTCTCCTTGGAGCGCGGGACGCAGGGTTTGCCGTGGGTTTGCTGTGATGTCGGCGTCGTCCACTTGGGGGCGTTGAGAACAAAAAACGCGGCGACGCGTCCTCCTTTTATCATGAGAGGCGCAAGAATCGGCTTGAGTTCGAGGCGCCACTTCGAGATGTAGTTCGGCCTCCCCGCTCTTGTCGCCGTACCTGGCATGGCGCCTGCCAGGCTACCGGTTGGGATTCCGAACTCAGTCTGGAAAGGACGGCAGGCTACCAAGAGGTCCCGTTGTTTGTTCTCGCCCTCGAGTTGGAAAGAGATTGTTGGAGACAGAGCTCGACGTGGTGGCCGAGACCTTGAAGACCAAATTAGGACCACCTGCTCTCGGATCGATTAGGACCCATGGCCACGGCTGGAATCCATGTGCTGCCTCGCTGCTGGAGCGACGCTGCGACGGATGCGGCGAGGGAGAGTTATGACAAGCACGGCAGGGAAAACGTGATGGAAATGTCTGATTTCTGCATACGTCGTAGATTCAATTGTACGTTGACGTTGCCCATCCTATCCCCATCCCAACGGGGATATTGCATCTAAGCCCCACCAGTCCACCCTCCTAGGTGGGGATAGGCCTCCGAAACCTGAACGAACAGTTGTATGTATCCCCACCTTGGTGGGTAAGTCTGCCAGTGGGACCAAGGCCACGCCAGCATGGATAGGGATCGGCTAGTCGCTGCGCAGCTTGAGTCGAAAAAGCAAAGATGGGCGTCTGTGCGCTCGCGAGCCGCAATCGTAGGAGAGTCGCCTGTCGTCACGTCAGTTCGGCCTCGCCGCTCTCGGCGGTGCCGAGCTGGCTTTGCCGGTGCACAGGTGGTCAAGGCCGGCCGCTTTCGGCGGCTTGCGCGCGATGTCCCGCACGCGGACAGGGAGGAGGATGCCGAAGAGCCGCAAGGCGCGCACATCGGTAGCGCTACCCGTCCCTCGTCGCCACGGCTGGATTCGCCGCGAAGCCTTTATCAGATCGCGCCCCCTGGGAGTAGCGGTATCTGTACCTTTTTGCCACCCCGTCGGCCACATCGAGGAGGCAGGACCCTGACGGGGATCGGCAAGTGGTTGGCTCATGTCACGATGGAGCCTCAGGAGGAGGCGGGCGAGGAGGAGGGGGGGAAGGAGGATGACGGAGTGGAAGCGCAGTCCTCCAATTTCACATACGGGATCTCCTGACGGGGGGGAGTGTTTGCCACCCTGTCGATCGCGGTTGCCCCGGGCGAGGGCCAATCTTTGTGGTCTCGACGAGAGCTCCAAGGCGGAGCGCTCCGCTCGACCTCATGAGCGGGTTCAGGCCCGAGAGGAGAAATGCGAGGAAGAGGAGGAATAGTTTCAGGAGAAAGTCAATTTCAAATCTCTCCTTCTGCGGTTAAGCATATTTGCTTAGCGTGTCGCGCCGCTGGTTCTGGCCCACCACGTTCCGACGCGACACGCTAACCACGTCCCAGCCCCCAAGCGTCACCGTCCTGGGCTGTTCCTGGCCTCCCCGCGGAGCGGATCGACACGCCATCGGTTCGCAGGGCATAGCGTGTCGCCAGGGCCGCCGCCGCGACACGCTAAGCAAACGTTCCTGGTTGTCAGGTGGAACAACCTCTGCGTCTGCTGCAGGGTAGGTTCTGTCCCCCTTCCAGACGGCCGGATCTGGCAGCGGAGGATTCTCAGGCGATGTCGAGGAAGCCACTTTCGGACCTGCCACCCAATCTGACGCTGTACGTGAACAACCTCAACGACAAGATCAATGTGGAAACTGTCAAGAAGTCGCTGCGCGAAGTCTTCGCAGCATTTGGTGGCATCACCGACATCGTCGCGATGAAGTCGCTGAAGCGCCGTGGACAGGCTTGGATCATCTTCAAAGAGGTGTCGGCGGCCACCAACGCGCTCAAGTCTCTGCAGGGCTTCCCCTTCTACAACAAGCCGATGCGCATCAACTACGCCAAGACCAAGTCCGACGCCGTAGCCAAGGCTGATGGCACATACGTGGAGCGGCCAAAAAAGATCGTGAAGCGCGAGGACCTGCGAAAGGGCAAGACCGCCACCCCGGCCCCCGCAGCGTCCGCCGCCCCCGCTGCCGCGAAGCCAGCAGAGGCCTCGAAGCCCACGCCCTCGCAGAAGAGCATCCAGGACCGCATCGGCTGGAATCCGCAGCAGACGGTGACTGCGCCCAAGGCGGTGGCGGCAAAACCCACAGGTGTGACGGAACCAAACAAGACGTTGTTCGTGGAGAATTTGCCTTCCGAAGCAACGGACACCATGCTGTCGATGCTCTTCAGGCAGTACCCTGGCTTCCAGGAGGTGCGCCTCATACCCGGGCGGAACGTTGCGTTCGTGGACTACCAGAACGAATACCAGGCTGGCATGGCCATGCAGGGTCTGCAGGGCTTCGCGATGACTCCAGAGGCTGCAGGGAATCTAGCAACAAAGAAAAGCACGAGCATACAAGCGATTGAGGAATCATGGCGTTATGGAATCCATGCCCCAGTGGCCGGGCCGACGCGCCGGCCGCCCTGCTCCCCAGATCCAGCGTTAACGCCGATTGTTTTTTCGAAAGCGATTGTTAGCAGCCGATGCCGATTAGCCTGCCCCGATGCCAAGCGATGGTCGATGCTTTCTCTTCGGGTAAGCGACACCTGAGTGACGGCAGAAAGCGGGGTTGACTGCGCGGACATTCGCGCGTAAGTTTCCTGCTCAAGGTCGCGCGTAAGCGCCCTCTTCTCCACGTGGTGTGCCACGCTGGCGGCCCGCGCAAGCCGCGGCGTCAGGTCGCTGTGCCATCTCGCGTAAGACCCGGTCCCTTCGCCGCGCATTCGACCCCACATGCTCCTTGAGGTCAAGCTGAGCCTCAGCTACGCGAGGAAGTGAGGTGGCTGCGCCGCACGCCCCACAGCGACTCGGCTCTGCTGACCTGCCCCCCCTCTTGCTTCCGCGACGTGGACCCGCCGCGTGCGAGGTCGGCCCGGGCATCCCAGATGCCATCCTTCCGCGGACCGCCCGAGGAGGCTCCCGAGGCTCCACGAGCGCTGCGCCGCTTCGCGCCCCCCGCCCGGGGCGCCCAGGGCGCCAGCCGCAGTTGTGCTGGATCGCCGCCGAATGAGCGGAAGAAGCGAGAGCTAGATTAACATAACTTGTCGGAGCTCAGCGCGGACTTCTTGGATCGTCATTGGAGCCTAGTGGCGGCGCCTCTGGCGCCGCCCCTGGCGCACTCCGCGCGCCAGGAAGGGGGGCCCAGCGCCGATCCAAAAGTCCGCGCGGAGGTCCGAAAGTTCGTGCTGATGCCGTTCTTGCTTCCTCTGATTGGGGATGCTGTGCGTCGGCGTTTCAGGGGTGTGTGTTGAGTTCGGCCAGAGCTGGAGCCCTGGAGAGGCGCCCGAAGCCCTCGCGCCCCCCCCCTCCCGCCCTTTTGGGCAACGCCGACGTCGAGAGTTGATGCAGCTAGAGACCTATCGCAGACCATCGCAGAAATCCTTCGGCGGCGAGCGAGGGGTGGGGGAAGTGAGAAGGAGAAGGCCCTCCCAGAGGGCGGCAGGGCTTCTCAGAACCCCTGTCGCCATCTGAGAGGTTTTCTGCGTCTTCGGGGAAGGCTTGGAACACTTCTCAGCACGCCGGGGAACTTTCAAGCTTTCTGAGAAGGCCCGCCCCCTCTCGCTTCCCCCTTCGGGCTGGCAGCTGACACCTGCAACAGCACCGCGCGCATATATGAATAGACCATTGCAGCTAGAGACCAGTCGCAGAGGCAGAGGAAGAAATAGGCCGACGCCCGGGGGGCACCAGCGCCGAAGGACGGAGGTGAAAGAGAGGCATGCGAGGGGAACCTTGGGAGACCTGAGAGGCCAGGGCTCGGCCGCGGAGGAGGCAGAGGCTGGGCTGGACGCAGGGCTGGCCCTTTCGCGCCGTGACAGCAAAAAATCGACGGAAGATTTTGACACTGTGCTGTCACTGGGGCGCCCCTGCCAGGCCTCGGGGCCGTCCACAGGCGACTCGAGAGGGAAGGCCGGCCCCGGGAAAGCGGTCGAGGTCTCCGTCTCTGGGGGTCGGCGGTGCGAAAGTACCGCGGCGCCAGGGCTCTGGGGACGCAGGCCGTGCCCGAAAGGCTTCGCCTTCGAGGGATCGAGAAGCTGATTATTTCTCCTTTCCTTTGGCGGAGGGATGGCGGAAGTAACAGTTGCCTCCCCCTAGCCAGGAGATGCCAATTTTGTGGAGCGGGCCATGTGGGGGCGGGTGTCGACCTCAGGCGCTTCCTCCGCTTGCTTCCCCAGAGCCCCTCATCATTTTCTTGCAGTGTGGATCCCGGAGGTCTCGACCCATTTCACGGGCCTGGGGTTTCACCCTGGGCAGTTTTCTGACGGAGGGCCCCCAGAGGTAGCAGTCGGCGGCGAGCCCAGGGGGAAGTGAGAAGGGGTGGGCCTTCATGGAAGGCTCGGAAGTCCCCCGGCCTTCTGAGAAGTTTTTCTTAGCCTCCCGCGAAGACATTGAAAACCTGTCAGTAGGCCGGAGGCCTTCTGAGAAGCCCCGCCGCTTTCTGAGAAGGCCTTCTCCTTCTCATTTCCCCCGCTCGCCCGCCGCCGAAACAGAAATGCCAGCACCCGTCTGTCGTGTTGTTTTCCATGGCCCGGAGGGGTCTGGACCTGGAGCCTCCTCGTCTTAGTTCCGCTCCTCGTGTACCATCCGCGCCCTCTGCCCATTTTCTCCTCCTCCTCATCATCATCAGCATCATCAGCATCATCATCCTCATCCTCCTCATCATCTGCCTCATCATCCTCTCTTCTGGTCCTCCGCATCATATCAACATCATCATCATACCAATCAGCATCAGCAGCATCATCATCAACATCGTCATCATCATCAGCATCATCATGATCGTCATCATCATCATCCTCATCATCAGCATCATCATCACTATCCGCCTCATCCTCCTCTCTTCTGGCCCTCCTACTCCTCCTCCGCCTCCTCCTCCGCCTCCTCTCTTCTGGTCCTCCTCCTCCTCTCTTCTGGTCCTCCTCCTCCACCTCCTCATCATCATCACCATCATCAGCATGATCATGATCATCAGCATCAGCATCATCATCATCATCATCATCATCATCATCATCACCATCATCATCATCAGCATCATCAATATCCGCCTCATCCTCTTCTCTTATGGTCCTCCTCCTCCTCCTCCTCCGTTTCCTCCTCCTTCTCCTCTCTTCTGGTCCTCCTCCTCCTCCTCCTCCTTCTCCTCCTCCTCCTCCTCCTCCTCCTCCTGCTCCTCCTCTCGTCTGGTCCTCCTCCTCCTCCTTCTCCCCTCCTCCCTCCTCCTCCTCCTCTCCTCCTCCTCCTCCTCCTGATCCTCCTCTCGTCTGGTCCTCCTGTTCCTTTCGTCTGATCCTCCTCCTCCTCCTCCTCCTCCTCCTCCCCCTCCTCCTCGACCTCCGGCTGCTCCTCCGCCTTCCTTTGCCATTGCTATGGTGTGAGGTTTGAGTAATTCATTTGGGCTTCCCGCGCATTGCTCATTGCTCATTGCTCATTGTTCATTGCTCCTCCTGCTCCTTCTCCTCCTCCTCCTCCTCCTCCTCCTCCTCCTCCTCCTCCACAGCATCATCATCATCATCAGCATCATCATCATCAGCATCAGCATCATCATCATAATCAGCAACAGCAGCAGTATCATCATCACGACCAGCATCATCGTCATCATCAACATCATCCTCATCCTCATCATCAGCATCATCCTCATCCTAATCATGATCATCAGCATCAGCACCATCATCGTCATCATCAGCATCATCATCATCATCATACTCGTCATCGTCATCATCATCGTCATCATCACCATCCGCCTCATCCTCCTTCTCCTCTCTTCTGGTCGTTCTCCTCTTCCTCCTCCTCCTCATCCTCATCCTCCTGCTCCTGTTCCTCCATCTCAGCCTCCGCCAGCCTCGCCAAGCGGACTCCTGTGGACGCTGAAGGAAGTCTCTGGACACTCGCGGGCGCATCCTTGCCCCAGGATGCCACCAGTTGTTCGAACTTGTTTGAGCCCTGGGACCCTCTGGGCCTGTTGAGGGATACCCTGGATGCCCCTGACATGTTTTTGTTCTGAGACAGTCACGACGGATGCTGTTTGCTAATGTTCGGCCTCCAGGGGCCTCCGCCGGGCCCTGGGACCATCAAAGAATGGCTCGAGATGAAAGTTGATCCCAGTGAAGGGGGCTAGACCTCTCGGCAGAAATTGGTGTGACAAAATCACGACGTCGGATGTTGGGGTGGATGCCACGGGACCCTCCCGGGAAATCTTGGGGACATTTTGGGCCACGGAAACTATGTGAGGATGAGAAGGAGAGAAGGGCGAGAGGCAGGGAGGGAGAGAGGACGAGGAAAGATGAGGGAGGAGGGAGGAGCACTCCCCCCTCCTTGTCCTCCTTGTCACGGCGATCTGAGCGTGGAGAAGGGCCCGCTCCTGGACGCGCGTCTGGCCTTTGCTCTGCCTTCTCGGCCGCTCGACTTCGGCCGAGGAGGCAGGGCGGGGGGCAGGAGGCCACGAAGGGAGATCGGAGGGATAAAGCGCTGGCGGACGAGGACGGCAGCGGCGACGACGACCACGATGACGATGATGAGCAAGATGAGGAGTGAGTTCGAGTACGAGATCGACTACCGACCTGATTTGCCCCAGAATTTGTTTTGCTCCGCCGAATACACGAACAACGCGTAGCTTAAATTCGCATTATGACTTCAGCCAGGGCGAGTCGTGATCTTGTGACCGCGGGCCACTCCTCCTCAAACAAAAAACGAACAATGCGTATCATGTCCCGTAACTATAAGAGTCAGAGAACGAGCAGGAAGATGAGGAGGACCAGGAGGACGATGAGGAGGCAGACGGGCAGCAGCAGGAGGGCGAGAAGAAGGCGGAGGAGGAGAAGGAGGAGGATGCAGGAGGAAGCAGGAGAGGAGAGGAGGGAGGGGGAGGGCTGAGCGGGGATTGTGTGAGAGGGGAGGTCGGAACAGGAGGAGGAGGAGGAGGAGGAGGAGAGGGACGAGGAAAGAGACAGGGAGTCGGATGAGGACATGTATAGGGGAGAAAGATGTACAAGGGGAGAAGAAGGAGGAGGCAGCATATCAAAGAGGAAATGCGTTAAGGAGCTTGACGAGGAACCGTATAAAGGATGGGTGAAGGAGGGGTGGAGAAGGTGAAGGACGGGCAGCAGCAGAATAGCCAACGAGTTTGAGCCTGCGAAGGAGAAGGGGCAGAGGATGGAGGAGCAAGACGAGGAGGATAAGGAAAGACACTCTCCTTTCCGACCCGCTCGCCTGCAGCTGCCTGCCTGCCTGGCGAGCGACACCCGGGGCTGAGCAGGTTGCGGTGGCTCATTCGCAAGGTCTCGCGCAGGGAGGAGGAAGAGGAGTAAAGAACGAGAAGAGGCCAGAGGGCTCGCGAGCAGCTGCCACACTGCCCCTGCTTCACTTCAGCCACGCGCAGAAGGGGGGTAGGTGGAGGGAGGAAGGCTTCTTAGAAGCACACCTGCTTCTTAGAAGGCGAGGGCCTTACCTATAGATGTAGGGCTGGCGCCTTCTCAGAAGCTACCTCCTTCAAGAAGCGTTCCCTCTACCCCTGCCCCCTTTTGTGCGCGCCGCCAATCACCGGCGCTGGCCGAACCAACAGGCACGCAGGGAGTCCTGGTTCCGCGCGCTGCACCGAACACATTGGTCAGAGGCGCTGTTTGGGGCCCACGCGTTGGCATCGCAGGCGATGGAACGGCTCCCAGAATGAGGATTTTTGCGAGGTGGGCGCGGCGACATTGAGCACAGTCAAGGCGCTGAAATAAGGACCACTTTGGGTTCGGAAGGGGTTGGACGTTCCCCGGGTCATTCCATGGCAACTCCTCGAG